CCCTTCTCAAGGTACGTGAGGATGCTGCTGCCCCCCCTCACAAAGACTGTCACAGTCACACACACACAGGCACACAGTCACACACAGGCACACACAGGCACACACAGTCACACACAGGCACACACAGGCACACAGTCACACACAGGCACACACAGGCACACACAGGCACACAGGCACACACAGGCACACACAGGCACACAGTCACACACACACACACACAGGCACACAGTCACACACAGGCACACACAGGCACACACAGGCACACATAGTCAGCGTCACGGTCAAAGTGCTGCCCATGGTAAGGACTCGAAACTGTTTCCCACTCACGCACTCACACACTGTCACTCGCACATTCCATTCTCTTCCTTCATTTACACCACCCCCTCCCCTTCCCTAACAACAGGCGGTAACCGCCTACCTGACAGCTGTCGGCGCAGGATTGGCCGATTGGGAGGTGGCAACACTGGTGGGTGTGGTAGCCCCCTCGCGCCTCTCCACTTCGGCAATGGAAGCTGCTGCTGCTTGCTCTTTGCTGCCTCCGCCGTTTCTGGTCTCCATCCTGCGCATTCAAAAAGAGGTACTGCGATGCGAACTCTTTCTAAGCCACCATTCTCTGTAACCCCCTCCTGACTGCGAGGTCGCGACGCTGGTGGGTGTGGTATCCCCCTCGCGCCTCTCGCCCTCGGCAATGGACGCCGCTGCTGCCTCTCTTGTTTCTGGTTGCTGTGCTGCGTATTCAGGAATGTCTCAACCAAACGGGGTCCGACGGTGGTCGACCTGACCGGCGGGGCAAAAACACTTCCTTTTGGATGGCATGCCATCCTAGGCAGGCATCAATCCTAAACACCATACGACAAGGTGTTTAGGGTTGATGCCTCCCTCGGACGGCATGCCTTTTCCTAGACAGATTGACTTGGACTGGATTCCTCCCCGCTTTCCTTTCCTCTCAACCCCCCCTCCCCCACCACCAGGAGGCAAGGCCGGCACTGCAGCAACAGCAGAGGCAGGTGGAAGCAGAGCAGGCGGAGACAACAAAATCATACGCAGCAGCAGCTCTTCTAAGAACCAACTCAGAATCAGACTCTCCCTCTCCTTCCTCTCTCTCCCTTGCAGGAGGCAAGAGCAGCGCTGCAGCAGCAGCAGAGGCAGGTGGAAGCAGAGGAGGTGGAGACGAGGAAAGCAGAGGCAGCGGTGGGGCAGTTGAAAGAGCGAGTGGCGGCACAGAGGGGGAGGAAGAGGGAGATTCAGAGAGAGCTGCTGGTGGTGAAGGTGAGTAGGGGGTCAGAGGCGCATCAACTTGCAGAGCAGAGAGGCAGTGAGCAAGAGGGAGAGGGTGGTGGCACAAAGCGAGGGAAGGTAGAGACAGAGAGTGACGTGATATGACTGATTTTTTTAGACGTCTACAAAAAATCACTCTTATCGTGTGGCGGCACAAAGCGAGAGAGGTAGAGAAGGAGAGTGGGTGGCTCTGCAGTGCTGCCAGTATTTGAGATTTTACAGAGCACGATTTCATCCCGTCACCATCAATCCCATCCCAACTTCTAACCACCCCTACATTGTATGTCCCTTTATATGCTGCCCTGTTAAAAGACCAAGGGCACTCCAGAGAGAGCTGGCAGAGAGGCATGCTGTCCTGCATCCTCTTCCCACTATCTCTTTGATTTTCCATGAAATTCTAAACCCCGAATTCTCCAACCATCTCCATCTCTGTTTTTGTACCCCCTTACAGGCTGCCCTGCTAGAGGACCACAGGGCGCTCCAGACAGAGCTGCAGAGGCAGAGGCACGCAAGGGCGCTCTGGAGCAGCAGCTGAGGGCCGCTGCTGTTGCGGCACGTTAGGAAGATAAGGTTGAGTGAGGTTGAGTAGGGTTGAGGAACAGAGCTGGCAGAGGCAGAGGCGCGCAAGGGAGCTCTGGAGCAGCAGCTCAGGGCCGCTGCTGTGGCTGCTCGCTAGGAGTTGAATGCGGTTGAATGTGGTTCACTGGGAGCAGAGGCAGAGGCTCGCAAGGGAGCTGGAGCAGCAGCTCAAGATTGGAGTAACAGGATGAACAGGCGTGGTAGAGGCTTGCAAGGGGGCTCTGGAGCAGCAGCTCAGGGCCGCTGCTGTGGCTGCTCGCTAGGAGTAGGGTTGGATAGGGTTGAATGCGGTTGAGTGGGTTAAATGGAGGAACAGAGCTGGCACGGGCAAAGGCTTTAAGGGAGCTCTGGAGCAGCAGCTGAGGGCTGCTGCTATGGCTGCTCGCTAGGAGTGGATTGCAGTTGAGTGCGGTTCAACAGGGTGAACAGGCAAGGCAGAGGCAGAGGCACACAAGGGTGCTCTGGTCTGGTCTGGGGGAGCAGCTCAGAGCTGCTGCTGCTGTGGCTGCTTGCTAGGGGCTTGGCATGAGTCAGGTTGATTACTGTAGGACTACAATAGGAATGGTTCTGTTTTCCTCAAAATCAAATTTGATCCGCAAAGAAAATGGTGGAATTGAGAAGAACAGCCCAGACAGACTAGGTACCGTACATACTACGGTACCTAACACAAATCACGTTAACGATCAGCACAACCAGCCTGCTTACGCTGACATGATATCTGAAGGCTTCTGCACCATCTTATGTACTACAAGTGCTGTTGGGGAGACCATGGTCATCATCAGCATCTACCAAAGGACCAGGCCATATGATCTAGTATGTCATCCCTTTCATCCGGCGAAAGGTCATCCCACCATTCATCATCAGAATAGCCCATGCGTGACGACTTGTACAGCCCAAACAAGTGACCCTGCGGGACATGCAGAAGTTATACATTGCATCAGGACAGATTATATCGAAGGTGGCTGGCAAACAAGGGAAAATGCGAGCTATGGAACTGGTGGTTGCAAAGCGGAACAAACAACCCAACCAGAGGCTGAGGAACAACCTGGGAGCAGATGAAGCAACAGGCATCGCCCTCTTTGCAACCCAACGCAACGTGAGCCGTCGGTTTCAGCAGAGCAGCGGCGCTCCATGCCTGCAGGATGGCACACGAGTGAGGGTGGGGTACCTAACATGCTAGAGCACCCATGTTCAGCAGGAAAGCTGGTGCCCAGAATCACATCGAAACCTATCTTTGAACAACTAAGACTCCCTTAAAAGAAAAACATCCTGCAAAAGAGGCCTCCCACAGCTGCTAACCATCTCACCCGGTCATGGCAGAAGGGGCATGCGCTTGCAGCAAACGGCTGGCCTTGCAGCATCCTGTGAAATCTGCAGCCAGGAGAAAGGTATGTATAAGACACAAACATGCACCTAAGTTGTGACTGTGCACAAAACAGGCGTTGCACTATGGACTATCGCACTGGTGAGACCATACCATCACAACACCTGCCAGCCACTAGCGAATCAACCACGTCTTTTAAGGAGATTCAAAGCACGAAGCAGGCGTTACACTGTAGGTCATCCCACAGATGAGACCATACCCTCACACCGGTACTAGCCACCAGCGCAACAACCACACATCCACCCAACAACATCGCCATGGCTTACCGTGAGTGCCTGAACCCAGCAATCGCTCCCCGCACCACATGACAAAGCTGACCATCATCCTCATCCTCATGCTCTTCCCCACAGCCCCCTGCTGCCATCAACACCGCCGCACCCTCCTGGTTCAGAGACGTCTCAAAAAGCTCACCCTCACCCCCGTGCTCCCGCCCACAGCCCCCTGTCGCCAGCAACAAAGCTGCGCCCTCCTGCGCCCCTTTCCCCCCATCGTCCTCCCTTTCTTTCCTCTTTTTCCCCCCTTCCACTTCACCCACACTCCTGTCGTCCCCCGGTGAGGGGCATGGAGGTAGGACGGGGTGGGAGGTGTTACAGTGGCGGGAAGAAAGATTGGAAGAGGAGCAACCCGGGGTGCGGGGAGGAGGACGAAGCGGCGAGCGGGAAGGAGGGGCGGGGAGGAGGAAGCACTCGTCCAGAAAGAGCCGAGCGGCGAGGGCGGAGGAGAGGGCACAGGAGCCGCTGACGTGAGGGTCGATGGGAGGGTGACTGCCGCTCTCCTCCAATGCGTTCACTCGCAGCGCGTTGGAGCAGGCAGATACCATGCCCGCGCACTCATGCAGCGCGCCAGGCTGCTCGCCGCGTTTGGCGGCGCATCGGCGCTGGCCGCATCGCGCACCAGGCGCGCCGCCACCGCCGCCACCGCCGCCGCCTCGCCGTCTTCCGCAAGGGCGGCGCGCGCGAGGCAGTAGCGCGGCCAGAGATCCGAGCGGGCGGCACGGGCGAAGGCGCGGGAGACGGAGGCGATGTTGGCGATGGTGGTAACAGCGTCGCCGGTAGCGTCCGCGACACGAAACAACGATGGCCCGCCGAAAGCCTCCATGGCCCGACGAAGACGCGTACTTGAGGGATCAAGAAGACGACAACACAATGTGCTGGTGGCAATCAGACTAAACCCGGATTCCAACTAAACCCTCTCTACAACTTGAAATACCTCAGAATTACTTCGTCGTGCGCAAGAAATGGGCGTGAGGTCGAGGCGCGTGGTCAAGAATCAAGCGTGCGTGAGCTTGAGGAACGAGCGTGGTCGTGGGGAATGCATGCCATGCCACTCGTCAGAAATCGTGGAAAGCATTGCATGGGCTTCTGTTCATGCTCAACAACAGCGGACGCGCTTTCAGTTATAGCCAAGACAAAGCTACAGTGGTTAGCGAAATCAAGGTTCATTAGAGGTGAAAAACAATCACCTGAAGCACCTGAACTATCCTCGGCGAGACACTCAAGTAGTAATTTTGGAAGTTCTCGCCACAGCCACACACACTGCTCCTCCATCTTATCGCATATATTCATAGGCAAGACTCTAGAGAGGCACCGATACAGTATAGTGTCCATAGCAAACCATCATCTTAGGATGCATTCCTAGGTTGATGAATGAGTGCATTAGGCATGGATCTGAAAATACTGGATGACTGCATTGTTTTCAGTAAAAGCCCAAGACAGACTATGTACACAACTCGCGCTAAAGATCAGCATACCGTAATCAGCCTTCTTGCGGTACGCTGATACTACGGTGTCTGAGCGGCTCTCCATCATCTCACTCTAACGGTTACACACCTAAAACAAAAACCTAACCATCAGAACAACAAATTCACACAAAAAAAAGCCCTCCCAGCCCTCCCGGCCAAGGGTCAATGACAGAGCGAACAACCTTGGTGTAGTCTTCTCGTAGACATTCCAAATACTCTTCATCTGAATGGTACACTCTAAACAGGTGACCCTGCCACGTGATGTGAGCCATGAAGAAGTTATACATTGCATCAGAACAAATGATACTGAAGGTGGCAACTTCTGAGGCGTCTCATGAGGCGAGTTGAGGCGCCTCAAATCAAGGAGAAGCTTGAGAAATGAAACTGGGGGCTGCGGAACAACCTGGTTGCAGATGAAGCAGCAGGCATCGCCCTCTTTGCAACCCAACGCAACGTGAGCCGTCGGTTTCAGCAGAGCAGTGGCACTCCATGCCTGCAGGATGGCACACGAGTGAGGGTGGGGTACCTAATATGCTAGAGCACCCATGTTCAGCAGGAAAGCTGGTGCTTAAAAATTACATAGCAACCTGTGCTTGAACCCCTCAAATACTTAAAGAATAAATCTTCATTCCAGTAGCAAAGGATGAGCACCACCGTCCTTGCAATGGCACAACACAGCTGCTAACCATCCTCACCCGGACATGTCAGAAGGGGCATCCGCGTGGAGCATCAACACTCCATCCATTCTAGCAGCAACGGAAAAAAACAGCACTGTCCTTGCATAAAAGGACTCGGCACAGGCTGTTAACCTTCTCACCTGGTCATGGCAGAAGGAGCATGCGCTAGTTCTCCAGACGTCTCAAAAGGGGCAAAAACATTTATCATACAGTTGTCTCACATGGTCATGGCAGAAGGGCATGCGCTTGAAGCAAATGGCTGTTCTTGCAGCATCCAGTGAAATCTGCATCCAAGCATTGGGAGAGAGGTAAGGGTTGAACGCAACATGCACATGTGCAGCGCATGACAAGTGTTGACTGAGCAGCACATGCCATGGGCTGGAGCGACGAGCATGCATATGGTGGACCGTAAGCACAAAGCAGTGAGATCAGCGGGGATCTTGATCCCTTCACATCAAACCCCGTGCCAGCCGGTGCAACAACCACCCTTCCACACAACATTACCACCATGGCTTACCGCGAATGCTTGAACCCCGCAATTGCTCCCCGCGCCACATGAAAACGCTTAGATCCAGCCCTGTGCTCCTGCCCACAGCCCCCTGTTGCCATCAACACAGCTGCGCGCTCCTGCGCCCCCTCCCCCCCATCTTCCTCCCTTTCTTTCCCCTTTCCCCCCCCTTCCACCTCACCCGCTACCTTGTCAATCCCAAACGAGGGGGGTGGATGCAGGAAGGAGGTACCGGAGCAGTGGGACGAGCGGTGGGAAGAGGTGCGGTTCGGGGTGCAAGGAGGAGGACGAGGCGACGAGCGGGAAGGAGAGGCGGGGAGGAAGCACTCGTCCACAAAAAGCTGAGAGGCGAGGGCGGAGGAGAGGGCAGAGGAGTCGCTAACGTGATAATCAATGGGGAAGTGACTGCCGCTCTCCTCCAATGGATCCTCACTTCCCCCGTGCACTCGCAGAGCGATGGAGCACGCGCGTACCATGCCCGGGCACGTACTCATGCAGCGCGCCAGGCTGCTCGCCGCGTTTCGCAGGGCATCAGCGCTGGCCGCCTCGCGCACCAAGCGCGCCGCCACCGTCGCTACCGCCGCCGCCTCGCCGTCTTCCGCAAGCGCGACACGAAACAACACTGGCCCGTCTAAAGCCTCCATGACATGTGTTTAGGTCAGATCAAGATTGAGAGGGATCAAGACGACGACACAATGAGCTGGTGGTACTCAGACTAACGCCGAAGTCCACTGAATCGCTCCGAAGCGTGAGGTCGAGGCGCGTGGTCGAGAAGTGGGCGTGAGGCGAGAAACAGACATGTTTAGGGGAAGTGCATGCCGTGCCACTCGTCGGAAATCTTGAAGAGCATCACGTGGAAAATGTGCTCAACAACAGCAGACGCGCTATCACGGACAACAATACCCGCAATAAAACGCTAAAGCTAACGAGATCATTGCGGGTATTGTGTAAATCTGTAACAAAATCATTTGACCTGATTGAAGCTCGGCGCAAGCTCGTGGCAGCTCGTTAGGGGTTTGATGGGTAATGTGGGTTTGAATGCGGTTGAGTCAGCTGAACAGGTAAGGCAGGGGCAGACAGAGCTGGCAGGGGCACTCGAGCATTGGAGCAGCAGCTCAGGGCCGCTGCTATGGCGGCTCGCTAGGGTTGAATGCGGTTGAGTGGGTTTTAGCTGGCTGTATAGGAAAGCGGGGGCACGGAGATGGCGGAGGTGGAGCCACGCAAGGGTGCTTTGGAGCAGCAGCTCAGGACGCGTCACAAGTGAAACACCAATCCTGCACAAGATCGGTTTTTCGCATTCACGACGTCGTTAACTGCTGGTTACCTGTCTTCGTCATCCGTCGCCAATGTACAGTTGTCCCCTCGGAGTCGGGCGATCGATGTGCCCTTGTCACACATCGATCGCGCAATTTCGTCCACATCGGGCAATTTTGCCCCATGATTTTCCGAACGTGTCACTTGGGACTTGCGGTGGGCCCGCGATTGCAAAAATTCAGTCGTGGCACACCGATGTGGCGATCGATTTGGCAGGTTCGGTGAACATCCCCGAACCTTCCTCGGTTTTCCAAATGTTACGCGTCCTCAGGGCTGCTGCTGTTGCTGCTCGATAGAAGTTAAATGCGGTTGAGTAGGGTTGAATGGGGATGAACAAGCAAGGCAGAGGCACAGGCTCGCAAGGGTGCTTTGGAGCAACAGGTCAGGGTTGTGCTGTCCGCTGCTCGCTAGGAGTTGAACAGGGTGAACAGGCAATCTAGAGGCAGAGGAACGCAAGGGAGCTCTGGTGTGGGGAGCAGATCAGAGCTGCCGCTGCTGTGGCTGCTTGCTAGGGGTTCGATATGAGTCTGGTTGATTTCCGTAGGACTACGATAGGAATGGTTCAGTTTTTCTTGTGGAAGTGTAATACCACCTTATATCAAAATTAATCCACAAAATAGCCTGCTTACACTATTATCTGACGGCCTGTGCACCATCTTACATGTACGGTGCAATTCCTTTCGGGAGACCGACAAAAGGTCATCATCAATATCTACCAAAGGTCATCATCATTAGGTGTGTTTGCGAACACCATTCCCTGTACCCTGTACGTTTTGCTAAGTCCGAATCAGTGTGACTCGGTACACTATGCTGATGCTTCAGTGTTACAGGTACACCTTAACACTAATTCGTCAGGGTAGTCCTATACATTAAACTGAAAAATCAGTGCAAACATAAAGAAGATACTGAAATTTCAGGGAAAACGAAAACCACAGGTACAAAATCAGCCTAATCAGCGTGTTTTACGCTGATATCTGAGGGCCTCATTATCTACCAAAGTGTAAAAAACTAAGACTAGGCAAGGATGATGAGATTAGGTCAAGGATGGGGTACAAGACTAGAGTGTCGAGAAAGTTTCTGTACCCCCTAGTGCTAACCCCCATACAGCCTAGATAACCTAAACATATATATAATTTGACACACCCCCATAGGCGAAATGGGGGATAGCCAGAGCAAGCAACGGTCACAAGACCAGTCAAGAGAAGAAACAAAACACAGCTCAGGGTGGATCACAACGTCACCACGCAGTCTGAGCACAAGCAAAAGGCCACAAGGCCAGTTCACATGCAGAGATATATACGTAACAACAACAGCACAGTGATCTCTACCTACCAGAGCAAGCATGCAGGTATATATATAGATCACAGTACAAACAAAGCCTACAGCAAGTGAGGAAACGTGGGCACAAGGCCTAACAAAGTACAGAAACGCTGATGATCACCAGGCGGAAGTGCCCGAGTGGCCACGTAAGCAAGACGAAGCTGACCACGCTGCTGTAGCTCTCGAGCAAGGAAGTAACGCAGAGCGATGTGCTTCGTTCTGTGCTCCAGTCTGTGCTCCTGACACAAGGCAATGGCGGCCTTGTTGTCGACGTACAGCACTGGAGGAGAACGAGGCCTCTCTCCCAAGTCGGTCAGCAGGTAGGTGAGCCAGCATAACTCCTGTGCAGCCATGGCTGTGGCGTAGATCTCAGCCTCACAACTGGAGCTGAGAACTGAAGACGAGCGTGTAGAACGCCAAGAAACCGAACCAGAGCCAAGGCTGAAGGTGTAACCCTGTGACGACCGCTGCGTAGTCTGGTCGTCAACCCAAGAAGCGTCTGAGTGCCCAGTGAGGACAACGTCGCTTCGTCCTCCAAGCACGAGCCCCATGCCCGATGTACTGCACAAGTAGCGTAGTACCCTCTTAGCAGCATCCATGTGCACCTTTCGGTGCCGACCAGGAGCCACGTAGCGAGCCAGAAGGCCAAGAGGGTACGCAAGGTCAGGACGAGTGCAGGTCATCAGGTACATGAGGCAGCCCACTAGCTCTGAATAAGGACCACTCGGCTCTACGGACTCGTCCGAAGGTGGAGCTGAGAGCAAGTGACCTGTAGCCAGAGGAGTGGGCTGTGCCGAGGACCAGGTGAAGCCGAAGCGCTAAAGGACCTGCTGCACCATGTGTGACTGAGTCAGTGTAATGGTGCGGCTGTGCTCTGTCCCGGGTGATCCGCAAGCCAAGATAGCTTGTCAGCTCACCCAGGTCTGTGCACGTGTGTCTCTTCTGCAGCTCCGACTTCACCAGGGCGAGAGCCTCAGTGTCAGCAGTGGCAAAGACCAAGTCGTCGACGTACACGAGGATGTAGAACGGCGGCAGCGAAGTGTCGGTGCGCAGAAACAGCGACGGGTCAGCAGTCGACGGAGCAAACCCGAGAGCCGCAAGTGTCGCCCTCAGTGTGTCGTGCCACTCACGCGGCGCCTGGCGGAGACCGTAGACTGGCTGCCGGAGGCTCCACTGGGTACCAGGAGGGAACGACCCAGTGAAGCCAGGTGGGCGGCGCAACCAGATCTCCTCGTGCAGGCTGCCCTGTAAGAAAGCTGTGCTGAAGTCAAGAGAGTGAAGCTCGTAGTCACGCTGGGCGGCAACGTGCAGCAGCACCCGAAGAGTGGTCATCTTCGGGGTGGGGGAGAAGGTCTGGAAGAAGTCAACCCCCTCTCGCTGACTGAAACCTCGAGCAACGTAACGAGCCTTGAAGACAGGCGGAGAACCTGGCGGCCGCTTCACCCTGAAAATCCACATGCCACTGACGATGTTCGCCCCAGGAGGGGGAACCTCGTCGACGTAGGTGCCTGTGGACTTCCAGGATGCCATCTCTGCATCCATGGCTGTCTGCCACTTAGAGGAGTACTCACCCGCGATCGCCTCAGCGTAAGAGCGCGGGGTCGGGATGTCTGGTGCATCCGGGTCTCCCTCAGGGGCAAGCAGCATGGACACAAGATGAGGCGTAGCGGCTGCAAAACACTCAAGGTCCTCGTGTCTGTCCTCAAGGACGTCCGTGCCAAGAGCACACTCACCCCCGACGGACGGAGGACAGACAGACTCAGACTCAGCAACAAGACTAGCAGCGTAGTCTAGACGACTTGCAGCAGCAAAGTCAACAAGCTCAGCGACTAAGGCAGACGCAGCAGCAGACTCAAACGACGGGTCAGTGACAACAGTGGCTAGCAGACGCGTGACAGTAGAGTGCTCAGCACGAAACCGGTAAGAGTCAGGGTCTGGAACAACAGGCAGAGAAGACTCCGGAGGGGACGGCAGAGGAACACGCTGCGGAGGAGAGGAAGGACGACGGACTACAAGGGAAGGACCGGGGACAGCCGGCGGACGCTAACGAGGAACACGACGACTGGAACGACCAGAACGGACAGGTGAGACAGGACGCGACGTAGGCTCACGATGCTCAGTAACGCCCCCTGTCTGCTCAGTGTAAGGAGAAGGAGCAGGCAGAGGTGAGCCAGGCTGTAACGGAAGACCAGTAGACGACGGGAGGCTAAGAACCTGGCGAAGTACGGAGTCAGGCGGTGGCAGAGACGACGGAGACGGTGGAGCAAAGAACAGGCGCGGCTGTGCAGTGCCACCAGCACCAGCAGCTCTAGCACCCGCAGCAGCTCCAGCGCCTCCAGCAGCTCCAATACCCTCAGCAGCTCCAGCACCTCCTGCAGCTCCAGCACCCTCAGCAGCTCCAGCACCTCCAGCAGCTCCAGCACCCTCAGCAGCTCCAGCACCTCCAGCAGCTCCAGCACCCTCAGCAGCTCCAGCACCCTCTGCGGCTCCAGCACCCTCAGCAGCTCCAGCACCTCCAGCAGCTCCAGTACCCTCAGCAGCACCCCCAGAACCGGCACCTCCAGTCCCAGGGTCTCCAGCAACAGCGCCCCCAGACCCAGGATCTCCAGCAGTAGCACCCTCAGGCTCAGCAGTACCTCCAGCCCCAGCAGCTCCAGCACCTCCAGTGCGAGCACCTCCGGGACCAGCACCACTCCCAGCTCCAGTGGTGTCAGCAGAAGTACCTCCAGCGGCAGAGTCCCGAGCTCCAGAAGCACGACCCTGACGGCGACCGTACCAGTCGTGCAGCTGCTGTGAGGTGAGAGGCACACGCGTACGAAGGCGGCTACTCCAAGGAGACCGCGCAGGAGCAGACTCAGAACCCTCAGGCGTCGCACCCCCAGACTCAGCACCCCCAGGCTCAGGACCTCCAGGCTCCTCACGCTCAGGCTCAGCACCCCGAGACTCCGCACCCCCCCGGCTCAGCACCCTCAAGCTCCGCACCCCCAGACTCAGCACCCCCAAGCTCCGCACCCCCAGGCTCAGCACCCCCAAAGACAGCACCATCCCCAGTAGGACCTGAGTCACCAGTGACCTCAACAGGCGCAGGCACGGGAGGGTCTACCTGAGAAACACCTGAAGGAGCAGGACCTGGCGCGGGGAGGGGGTCTACCTGGGGAGGACCTGGGGCGAGAAAGAGCGGCGGGGGGGGGCGAGGAGCAGTGCGGTAGGGAAAGAGACGGTAAAAGGGGACGGACTCGTCAAAGGTGACGTCCTGAGACGGAAAGACACGGCGCGAGGCGGGGTCGTAAAACTGCCAGCCAGGCGCGTCAGGGACAAAGCCAAGGAAGACGCAGGGAATGGCGCGAGCGGAGAGCTTGTCCGCAGTGGTATCGCGGACAAAGGCACGAGCACCCCAGACCCGGAAACGCGACGCATCGCCAACCTTCCCCGTCCACAGCAGTGTGGGCGAGGTCTCCGGCAAGGAGACATGGGGCCAGAGGTTGAGCTGATGCGCGGCGTACCGGACCGCAAACGGCCACAGAAAATGGGGGGCAGCCGCATGGATCATGGAGGTACGAGCGACCTCCATGACTAAGCCAATGCGGCGCTCAGCAACCCCATTCTGCTGCGGAGAGGCCGGAAGCGTGAACGACTGGCGGATGCCGTGCTCCGCACAGTAGGCTGCCAAGAGGTCTGAGGAGAACTCACCACCTCTGTCAGAGTGCAGACGCAGGACAGGAAAGTCCGACCGGAACCGCTCGCGGAGCTGGAGACGAACAGCGCGGATCCAGGGGATCAAAACATCAGGGACCTCCCCCTTGCTGCGCAAGGGGAAGACCGTGGTGTAACGCGTGTAGTCGTCGACGACCAGCAGGAAGTACCGCTCGTGGCCCTGTCCACGGACGCGGGCTGGGCCCCACACGTCCATGTGGAGAGTCTGCAGGGGAGCCTCTGTGGGAGGAAACGAGGAGGAGTGAGGAGCGGCGCGCTGCCGCCCCTCGACGCAAGGAATGCAGGGCGGTGCAGGCGAGGGAGGGAGGGCAGGCAGAGACCTGGGAAGGCCAAGTAGCGAGAGTGCATGCTACGAAGGTACCAGAAACCAAGTAGCGAGAGTGCATGCTACGAAGGCGAGGCAGGGAACGGTGACCAAGGCGGTGGTGCCACAGAAGAGTGTCGTGCGACAGGCGGCGACACTCACACTGGGTAGCTACCTGAGCAGACGCGTTCAGCTGGGGGGACAAAGGGGTGTCGCGAGACGCAGTGGTGAGGGTGTACAGACTAGACCCAGGCGCACGTGTGAACGTGGCCAGGTGACGGCCAGTCCGAGAGCACGTGCAGATCGCCACACGCTGTCCTCCAGGAGTAAAGGTGTCAACCCAGTGATCCTGAAGGACAGCGTTGCTCACCAAGTTCGTAGAGAACGAGGGGAGGTGGAGACCAGACAGCTCACCAGACGGGACCGCCGGACACGGAAGCACAGTGGAAGACCGTGCAAGCACTGGGCCCCCAGAGGGGTCAGCCAGCGAGACAGGAACAGGTGCAGGGAGGGGAGTGACTGTGGTGCTGTCGCGAAAGAAACAGCGGGAAGCACCAGAGTCAAGTGTGAAGGTGTGCAAGGCCTGTGCGGACGCAGTACCAGGGGGAGCAGACTCACAAGCACCTAGTGCCACAAGCGCTATACGTGGGGCAATACCTGGGTCAGGCGGCACACACAAGTAGCAGTCACCCTCAGCACTAACAGTCAATGTATACATGGCAGCAAGAATAGCCTCATAGTCAAGATCAAAGATAGGTACATCACGCCTAAGCAGGTCTGCCCAGTTGGGGAACTCAGTAGCATCAGGAAACTTGGCGCGCCAGGCGTCGCTAAGCCGAGCGAAGCAGCGTTGCTCAGTGTGAAACCCTGTGCACTGGCGACCAGTGCGGGGACCTGTGCGAATCATATAGGGGCAGCGACCAGCACCCCCAGAAGCCCCACGCCCGGCATACCAGTCAAGAAGCTGCTGGGAAGTGGGGGTCTGGCGCTGACGCTGCTGCTGCTGCTGCTGCTGCTGCTGCTGCTGCGACTGCTGCTGGCCCTGACCACCACCTCCACCACCGCTCCCTCCTCCCCCACCGCCGCTGCTGCCACCTCCACCGCTCCCAGTGCCTCCGCTGCCCCCACCACCACCTCCACCCCCACGACCGCCTCCACCACCTCCACCTCCCCCGCCGCCACCTCCACCACCACCTCCACCGCCACCCCCTCCTCCCCTGCCACCCTTGCCGCCCCTGCTGCTGCGACGCTTCCCACTAGGAGCGGAAGCAGCCCCGACCTCCTCAGCACCAAGGTAGTCGTGAGCAGCAGCTGCGGAGGCGTAGGAGGGGGTGAGAGGGGAGGGGGAGCACCCCTCAAAGAGGGGAGAGCGAGGAGTGCCACGAGCAGCACCTACAGCGAGGATGTTCTTCTCTGCTGCAAGGAGGTGCTTCTCGAAGTCGTCGACAGTGAGAGTGGGGGGGTCTAGCGCGAGGAAGTGGTCCCTGACCGAGCTAAGAGTGTCAGGGAGGCGGGTGACGAGGAAATAGAGAGTGAAGTACATCGGGGGGGGGGGGTTTGCGGCGCAGAACTCGGCTGAGAGGGCGGCACGAAAGCGAGTGTCAGTAGCGCGCAGGTGGGAAATGAGGTCCTCAGCAGTGGTGAACGAGGAAAGGTCGGGGAACAGGTAGGGTAGCATGAGTCGACCTATGACTGAAGTGGCCGGGGAGGAGTAGCGCGCAACTACAGCGTCGTACAGTGTCTTAGCAGTTTTGTGCTGGCTGAAATGCGCGCGCTCAGTGATCGGCAGATGGTTCCTAATAGCTAGGCGTGCAGCAGCATCGCGAGTCTGCCACTGCGAGCGTTCGAGAGCAGGAGCATCGGCAGCAGGAGCAACGGCAGTGCCAGACACGTAATCGAACAGCGAAACGCCCTCTTTGGCATCGGTCAGAAGGAACAGTTGCAGGTCGTCTAGCCACACAGCGAACTCTATGGGGCGACCGTCAGGTTCGAACGCGAGGACATTAGGCGTCGTCATAACGGCAGCAGGCAAAGGCAGCAGAAAGCAGGCAGGCAGTATACACGAGGCAGTAGGCAGTAGACAGTAGGCTAATACAGAGGCAGTAGGCAGTAGGCAGTACAGGCAACGTGCAGGGCAGTAGCTTGCTGCACTCGAGCTCCTAAGGTGGCGCTCTAGACAGTAGCAGGCCGCACAGTTCTAAGGCAGTGGGCTCGGCAGCAGTGAGCCTCACAGGCAGGTACACCAGTAGGGCAGGCGCGGCTGCTGGCTGCGCGCGGCTACGTGCTGCGCGCGGCTCCTGGCTGCACGTGGCGACGGGCTGCGTGCGGCCCCTGGCTGCGCGTGGCGATGGGCTGCGTGCGGCCCCTGGCTGCGCGTGGCGACGGGCAGCGCGCGCGGCTGCGGGCTGCGTGCGGCGACGTGCCTAAGCAGGCTGCGCGCGGGGCGGCGTAAGGGGCGCGCGGGCTCTACGTGGACTGCGCGGGCGACGGGGGGGCCGGCGCGCGGCTCTGCAGCAGTGGCGCGCGCGAAAATCAGTGACGCGCGCGCTAGAAAACGAGGCGCGCGCGGGAAAAAAAAAGTGACTCGCGCTGCAGCCGAGGCGCGCGCGGGCAGTAGGCAAGGCAGGCAGTTAGGTGGGCCCGATTCTTAGGTCCTAGAGACCTCCTGCTCTAGTTACCATGTTAAAAACTAAGACTAGGCAAGGATGATGAGATTAGGTCAAGGATGGGGTCAAGACTAGAGTGTCGAGAAAGTTTCTGTACCCCCTAGTGCTAACCCCCATACAGCCTAGATAACCTAAACATATATATATATAATTTGACACAAAGGTCATCATCAATATCTACCAAAGGACCTAATATGATCTAGTAAGTCATCATCAGGATCATCCGACGGAAGGTCATGGTCATACCAATCATAATTGTTGTATCCATCCCAGCACAAATCCTCATCAGAATAGTCCGTGCGTGACGACTTGTACAGTCCAAACAGGTGACCCTGCAGGTGCAGGCCATGAAGAAGTTATACATTGCATCAGGACATATCACGGTATATCGAAGTTGGCTGGCAAACAAGGAAAAGTGCACCGTAATCTGTTCTGATGCAATGCTATGGAACTGGTGGTTGCAGAGCGGAACAACCACCCAACCAGTGGCCGCGGAACAACCTGGGTGCAGATGAAGCAGCAGGCATCGCCCTCATCGCAACCGAACGCAACTTGAGCCGTCGGTTTTCAGCAGAGCAGCGGCGCTCCATGCCTGCAGGATGGCATTCACATGGGTGAGAGAGGAGTACAGGGAGAGCTGGTGCTCATCATAATATCATCTGTTTTAGAGGCGCCTCAGAACAGGTATCGAGTAACATTGTTGACTAGAAAGAAGGGGTACAGGGAACACACGTACAAAGAGTTGTACTCATTAAAGCCTAACCCTGTCTAGCCTATAGTTTGACACAAACACGACTTCCTTACATAAGATGGCACGGCACAGCACCTAACCATCTCACCCGGTCATGGCAGAAGGGGCATGCGCTTGCAGCACGAATATTGAGGCGCCTCAAAAGCAATCTCACCTGGTCATGGCAGAAGGGGCATGCGCTTGCAGCACGAATATTGAGGCGCCTCAAAAGCAATCTCACCTGGTCATGGCAGAAGGGGCATGCGCTTGCAGCACGAATATTGAGGCGCCTCAAAAGCAATCTCACCTGGTCATGGCAGAAGGGGCATGCGCTTGCAGCACGAATATTGAGGCGCCTCAAAAGCAATCTCACCTGGTCATGGCAAAAGGGGCATGCGCTTGGAGCAAACGGCAAGCCTTGCAGCATCCTGTGAAATCTGCAGCCACGCATTGGGAGAGAGGCACGAGAGAGAGAGAGAGAGGTATGAGAGGGAGAGAGGTACGAGAGGGAGAGAGGTATGAGAGGGAGAGAGGTATGAAGGAGAGAGGTATGAGAGGGAGAGAGGTATGAGAGGGTGAGAGGTATGAGAGGAAGAGAGGTATGAGAGGGAGAGAGGTATGAGGGAGAGAGGTATGAGAGGGAGAGAGGTATGAGAGGCAGAAGGTATGAGAGGGAGAGAGGTATGAGAGGGAGAGAGGTATGAGAGGGTGAGAGGTATGAGAGGGAGAGAGGTATGAGAGGGAGAGAGGTATGAGAGGGAGAGAGGTATGAGAGGGAGGAGGTATGAGAGGGAGAGAGGTATGAGAGGGAGAGAGGTATGAGAGGGAGAGAGGTATGAGAGGGAGAAGGTATGAGAGAGAGAGAGGTATGAGAGGTGAGAGGTATGAGGGAGAGAGGTATGAGAGGGAGAGAGGTATGAGAGGGAGAGAGGTATGAGAGGGAGAGAGGTATGAGAGGGAGAAAGGGTACGGTATGAGACGCAAGATGCACTTGGAGAGAGGTTTTGGATTTCAAACGACTTTGATGTACCGTCTGTGTTTCAAGACGCGCAAGATGCGCAAGATGCGCAAGCAGCCCACGCCATAACGGGTTGGGGCGCCATGATCCGCATGCAGATAGTGGAACGGAGGCACAAAGCGGTGAGATCCCAGTGGTGAGATCAGCGGGGATTTTGATCCCTTCACACCCCGTGCCAGCCACCAATGCAACAACCACCCATCCTCCCAACAGCATCACCATGGCTTACCGTGAATTCTCAAACCCAGCAATCGCTCCCCGCACCACTTGACAACGCTCAAACCCAGTCCTGTGCTCCCGCCCACAGCCCACAGATGCCATCAGCACAGATGCGCCCTCCTGCGCTCCTTCCTCCCTAGCTTTCCCCCTTTCGTCCCCTTCCACCTCATCCAAAAGTGCGGCGAGGGGCGGAAAGGAGAGGCGGGGAGGAAGCACTCGCCCAAAAAGAGCCGAGTGGGGAGGGCGCAGCACAGCGCACACGAATCACTGACGTGAGGATTGACGCCCTTGCCGCCTCCCGCGCCAACAATTCCCCTGTCTGCACCGCTTTCCTCCTCCGTCTCGCTCCAGAACTTTATTGCGTCTTTCCCGGCCCAGCGGGGCCACTGGAACGGCTCGGCGTTCACTCGCAGCGCGTTGGAGCACATGCGTATCACGCCCGGGCACGCACTCATGCAGCGCGCCAGGCTGCTCGCCGCGTTTCGCGGCGCATCGGCGCTGCCCGCCTCGCGTACCAGCCGCGCCGCCACCGCCGCCACCGCCGCCGCCTCGCCCTCTTCGGCCACCGTGGCGCGCGCGAGGCAGTAACGCGGCCACAGCTCCGCGCGGGCGACACGGGCGAAGGCGCGGGAGACGGACATCGGAAATTTTCGGGTCCTGGGTAAGGGAGTGAATTGCTGATTTAGGGCAGTGAATGGTTGGATTTCGCGATCGCTTGAGCTGCCCATTGACGATCGAGGGTTTGGATCTTCACGGCTGGAACCAGCCTCACTCATCGAAGTCTGTAAATGGCGATTGCCATTCGCGTGAGATGACGGTAGATTGTCGTGACTGGCTATAAATGTTGGTGAGCTACTTTCAACAACCACCCCGACCGGACTTCAATTGTGTGTAGGCCCTTCGCGAATGGGGCGATTGTGTGAGAGATGGTTGGATCCTGCAATTTAAGGCAGAGTTGTTACCACGCGCGCTTTCAGTTACATCGACACCAACAAGCATAGAAACCGTCAGACTGTACACCATCAAATCTTAATTGTGCTTGTTTTTTACAATATGTGACTGTATGCAAATACCCTTAAGTTTTGATAATATACACTTCTCTCAGATTTTCGTAAGTACATGCAACTAACTTTGAATGTTAGTATATAAAATACCGCAAATTTTATATACACGTTCAATTCATTATAAACGCTGATATTGATTAGAAGACGCATATTGCCACCCATTGCTAAAATAAACATGCTTCTTGGTGGTCATTAGATTATTAGCGCCTGCACTACAAACATCACCATGCAATTATTCACTACGAACTAACTATACTGGAACACCATTTGGAAAAAATTGGCTCTCAAAACCGTCTATCTCAATCTTAACTGCCTTGCACATTTGAAAACCAGCAGGGTGGCTTGGATTCCAGACACTGGGATCACGGATGTACCACTCCTTCAGCCACGAGATGATTTCTTCAGTCTTCCTCCGCATGTTCTGTGTGTTGAGGAGCTCATTCCCAGACATCGCAGGAACCTTGGATCCCTTTGCGTTGGCCATTGGCCATTCAACCTGCACATGAACAGTAAAAAATAAACAATGTAAGATACACCTCAAGAAGTAAAACTTGGGAAAATACATTGAAACTTACCACGTAGCACACATACGCGGCTCCAACAAGCTTGACGTTCCAGGCAGTAGCTTTCACGCCACCGAAAGCCTTGCTCACTGCCATGATCCAGCCTAGGTTGGAAAAGGGACGCTCGCCTTCGGTGCAATGCCAATTAGAGCCATAGCGATCTGCAAAGTAAAAAACAAAACAGATATGAGTATATCCAGGATTCTAAAAGACACAATAGGCGGACAGTAAGGGAATAATTCTCACCATGCTTAAACTTTTCTGCCCACTGCACAGGTGACCTCACAAATCCAACTTGGATCCCCACTGCGACAAGGGTGGCTACAACCGTCTCGTTGTAGAATCCGCCAAAGCCCCAAGCATACACTCTAATCGGGCTATTCAGGTTAGAACGACGCTCAGAGCATTTCTTCTTGGCAGTCTCCCGCATCTTACAATCTCTAGAAATAGCATAATAGAACTCGTTGTTACTTACCCCGTCCTCCAAATACTTCATGGCGACGATGTGCTGAAGCTCTGACCATTCCGGAAAAAAAGCTCATGTAGCTTCCAGGGGCAACGGTTGTCAGCCAATAGATTGAGTCACTCGTAAATTTCTGGGAACAAATTACGGTAACAACGGTCGTTAGAATTGACAACACATAGAGAACAATAATGTTGTAACGACTGGGTTCACGGGCGAAAATCTTACACCAATCTGAAGCTCATCCGTGAGCTTTGTCGGAATCTTAATGACCCCGTTTACGACGTCGAGCTTGGTGACGTCCCATTGGAGCGCGGGGCCCTGAATGACGGTGCCAGCCGGGTTTGAGAGTTGAGACGGTGCAGACACGGATAGCGCCCGGTTTTCGAGCGAGTCAATGCGTTGACGCTGCTCTGCAACGACGCTTCGAAGGTGCTCCAGCTCGAGGTCCTTGCTGTCCGCCAAGTTCTGAAGTTCTTCCTCGCGTTGGCGGGAAATCTGCAGCGTGGTTGTAACATCCTCCAACTGAGCCTCCAAATGTATTCCCGCCTCAACTCGTGGATGAAGAGAACCTGATAACAGAAGCAGGAAATATGTGTCAGCGATTATAAGCATGTTAGGATTTTGGCGTTGAGAATTGTTGTAGTTGACAAGGTTTAAAATAATTTAAAGCATCCAGCTAGGCAACACGAAAGCATATTAAAAAAAAATGCACTCACTGGTTCGTGGCCTCACTGGAACTGCAGCGTTGACGGGGGCAAATCGTGGCTGAACGGCTGTGTTAGAGGTGGCGATTGCCTCACCGTCCTCTACGAGTTCACCCGTTGCACCAGCAATTGTCTCACTCGGATTACTTGGTGGGGGGGGCTGTGTTTCAGCTGTGGCTGGTGGCATAGTTGGAGCTGGAGGTGGCTTGATAGCCTGGTGGTTCATCCATGCGAGAAAGTTTAGGTAGTTGTTGTCTGTGACCTGGGGGGCAGTGGAGGTGGTTGGTCGTTTGGAGGGTACTATTGGTGCAGGATCGAGGGAAGCATCACTTCTAGGGTCGCCATCTGTCGCACAAGTGCGTTTTGCGCCCAAAACGGTTGGCGCTTGCGACATTCTGGAAAAAAAGCCCTCTGACTGGTGGCCTGCTTGATGGCCGTGAATGGCCTTGAATGACTCTGGTCATATAGTCCTCCCTGGCTCAATGGGGCGGTTTTCTACAATTCCATACAGTTTAGACTAAAAAGTCTCAGAATTTTAGGGTTCGAAACCGTAAGTTCCGTGGTACTGAGTACTAGCTACTCTCATCGAAAGAGATAATATTTTTCTGACGGCTGGAGTTGTTTGTTGACACTTGCCATTCCTGTGTGTATTGTACAGTTGTCGTTTCGGAATTTCTCAGAAGCGGGCAGTACATGAATCAATCACGAGCTGCCTGTACAGTATGCCACTGCCTCAATGCTTCACGTGAAAAGAACTTAGTGAGCACGGCAGGTGGCTGTTATCGTCGCTGCCTGCAGCAGTCACTTGCGTGCTGTATTTCGCGAGTCGTCGCCCATTTGGGCGGGAAAAAAATAATTCGCGTTTTTTCTAGTTAAGTGACAACCGTTATTAGCTGCAACGAATTCCCTGCACTACGCGAGAAGTTTTGGGTCTTAGAACATTCGGAATCACAAAAGCAGCACTAAACGACATTGAAACATTGGGCAAAACTCTGCTCAATAGTCTCGAGCGCAGGACAATGCCAGCTGTAAATTGCCTGTTCCTCATTGGCTGCTATTACAGCATTTCTGTTCGAACAGCGCGACAGCGTGCCACGCTGAAATTAACGGGCGCGCTGTAATTCGTTGATTTGACTGTGTACGATTGACGAGAGTAGATACACAACGAACTTCTGCCGAAACTTTGCTCAACCAGAACGCTCATTTTACAAGCTAAGCTTGGCATAACTACTCACTTGGCTCACAAGTGATGTTAAGTGTTGCCTAGTTTATGTTTGTGGTTCTGAGTTAATCGCTTCCGCATAATACTATGCCTAAACAGATTATGCTCATGCGTCTGTTTCAGTGAGTGCACTGTAAAAATCGGTCCAGAAAAACTCAAAGAGTTTTATGCTTCTCAATATCTCACCTGATGTTTTGCCTACTAAGGAGACATTGAGGACACTCGAACTTGGAGAAACGGTAAGCTCTTGTGACCTTAGACCTACAATGCGCAATATTTAAAGCGGAGATTGAACGGTGCAGGATGGTTGCATCTTAGTTTTCTTTTAGGGTACGCATGGACCATCTGTAAAATGGGCGCTTAGGGTATTTGACAGTTGATACGAGTAGATTATAGGTACATTATACACTTCACACAGAATTTGCATTTACTACTTTTTTTTTACGACATTGAGAATTGCTGGAAATTTCGCTTGTATTGCCAAATAACAGTTATTATTTCAAAGCAAAATCTTATGAGGGCTTTATGAATGAGGTTTCTAGAGAAAAAGCTCAGAAAGGTCCCATGAAGGTCCCATGCGGGTCCAATGAGGACCCCATGAAGGTCACATGATGGTCACATGAAGGTCCCATGTGGGTCCCAAAAACAGATGAAGATTAGAATGAGCAAGGCTCGAACTCTTTATCTACAAATCAAATATTCACTACCACCCATCCTAGCTACGAAGATATGCTTCGGTTATTATAATTTTGTTAAATGGATTTTTCTAAAGCGTAAAACAGCGTATGCCTTCGTAGCTTAGTTGGTACGCAGGAGTAACATTTGAAGGTCGAGGGTTCGAGTCTTGAATTAGTCAATTCTGTATCTTGATTTTTTGTCCCATGGGACTCCCATATGAGTCTCATGGAACTCCCATACGAGTTTCATGGGACTCTGATAAGACTGTCATGCGACCCACCCTCATGGGGCCCTCATGGAATGAAAGCCTCAATGAGTCTTTTGTGATCCTCAAGCGATTGGACCCTCATGGGATCTAGCAGACGCCCGAACCATGACTGGCTAACCAGTCTCAGCTCTGCCTCACGAAGTGGCCGTGAAAATCAGTAATTCCACATTTAGGGCGAGTCCTTTTCGTTCGTTTTGATGCGGCTCAATTCGATGCTTCATGTTTTGCAACGGTCAAATCTGTCTTAGGTCATCGAGATGGGTATTGAGCGGACATGATATGAGAATGATGCGCCCTTAGGTTGAAAAACGAATGAGACCAAAATCACAAGGTGGCCTAAGTCACGTGGGAGCGCCAGATCCACATCATGCGGCCGTGCCGGCGCCGCAGGACTTGCGGCGAGTTTTGCAGCTGCGGCTGGGATCGCCGTCGATTACGGCGATTAATAAGGCGCGCATGTTCCACGGCAACGGGTTGGACGCGGCAGCGGGGAGGATGAAGAAGCGTGCAACGGAGATGGCGGCGATGGAAACCCGTAGCACCACTAGGCGAGATGGCACGCTCGCAACGTACGACCCATGGCGGGGAAGATGCTCTAGGCGGAGAGATGGCGGCGCTGGAATTCTGTAGCATCAACTTCGTCGCCCCGACACACGCTTGCCGCACTTCCCCGTTT